ACTTTCAAGGGTGCAACCTCCCCTGCCCTACCCTCAATATGTTCAAAAAGTAAAAGTGGGTCAGGATAAGCAAGGTGAAGGGTGTGGCTATAGGGGCATCTCAAACTCAAGCCTTTGGGGTTAACAGATAAAAGGAGGGAGGGGGAATGAGGGGGCAACACTGACAGTTTCCTTGAGAGAAGCAAATCTGCAAAAGGTTGCAGTTTTCTTTTCATGATTTTCGTCAGGTGAACTCCTTTGTGGGAATGCATGGCACGTGCCAGGAGCTCAGAAACACTGCCTTCAGACTCCTGGTCTCCCTATCTGGGGGGACTGAGCTGCTAGCTGCAAAGACTCAGGATTCAGATCACTCACAGGTATAACAACTTGTGGAAAATCCAGAAGCCTCAAGCAGAGGAATAAACTCTGAAAGGACTACAGTCAACAACCATGTTCCTGTTAGTTATCTACAAAATATAAAACTGGAGAATAATAATTGTACTCTAAGGCTGAGGGAAAATTCTGAAAAGAAAACTGAAATTCTAAGTCAAGTCCAGAGAAAACAGAGGTGGTTATGTAAGGGGGAGAGACAAGGAACAGTAACAAAGACACAAGTACTTCCGAGTTAGAGAGCCTCACATTAATATTTTGCAAGCAGCAACCACATGACAAAAATACTCAAAAGCTTTAAGTGTGCCTGAGCCTTGGAAAGGTAGGAAACTTCTCTGGCTGAAACCAGGAATGCTTTAGTAAAAGAGGGAAAAAGAATTCCAGACCTCTCGGTGGCTCCCAATTTCAAACTCTTCCTCCACCTAAACTAGTTGGTCAAAGGATGTCCAGTCATGAAGACACATCACTGGACAGATCTGGACATCCTGGGAACTATAATTTGTTTTTCCACTGCAGTTCTCTCTACTGTCTTTTGAAGAGTGCCACCAGGCAATCAACAACTCCTGACTAGCATTATCATAGGACATGTATAAAATAATATGTGCCATTTTTTTCTTTCAGTAACCCTAGGCTGATTAAAAAAAAAAAAAAAAGCACATAATTACTTTAATGATGTACTTAGAAAAAGGATTATCTACAACAGAAAATCACAAGGGCAACACTAATTAAAAGGTGTCTCAATTTATTACTATGAATTTTCCAGAGCCCAGATGTGTTAACTTTATCTGATATCTCCAAAGGATGCTTTATATTATACATAAAATCAGCAGAGGAACAGAGAAGTATAGAGATCTACCTTTTCTGTTATGAAAATGCAGACTTAACAGGGCTCAAGAGGCAACTGAGATAAAATACACAAGGCTATTACTATTGTGTTTATCGTGACAATGACTCTTCACTGAGCACATTTTGTACCAGAACAGGAAGAGAGTGGTGAACAAACCAGGCCTTATTCATGCTTTCAGGGGCCACAAAGAAATGTTAAACACTAATATACATAATTATAAACTGTGATTGATAATAGAAGGAAAAGATGATTGTCTATGTTGCTGATAAGGTTGGTCTTCTCACAGAAGCACTGCATAATGATCCTAGAATAGGCATCAATAGCTTGAGCAACAGCCACAGTCCCTAGGCCAGTCTGATGGAGAAAGAGCCACTGAGGCCACCAGGAGATGTAGTAGGGGCGGGGACCAAATCACAGAGGGCCTTGCAGTCATATTGAGGGTTTTTTTATTTCACCCCAAGAATATATGTGTTTCCTAAACGCTCTGCAGCTTTAAACACAAGTGACTTTTGTTTTTCTTTATGAGCTGCTAGTGGGAAACAGACTGGTAGGGAAGGGCTCAGGGAGGGAGGGGTGCAGGGTGTGGAGAGCAGAGATCTGGGACTGGAAAGGAGGATGGTAGCACTGATAATCAGACAGGTTTGAAAGATTTTGACAGAAAAATCAACAGGACTTTGGGGCAAACTGGTTGGACTGGGGTGATGGAGAGAAGAGAAAGTGAAGGATAATGCCAGGCTTTGGGCCTGTGTTGCTGGCTGGCTGGATGAGATGAGGAAAAGTCTGAAAGGCTGGTAACCAAGAGCTCAGCTCTGGCGAAGCTGGGATGCTGCCACGATTGGTTGCCTTGGATGTCCAGGTCCAACAGGTGTCCTACTCGTCACAGCATCCCCATTTTGCAGAAAGCACACCGCAGCTCACTGAGGTAACAGGATGATGGCCAGGTGCACTCTGCGCAAAGTCACATCTGCCACCCAAGCCTGGTTGCCTGGCTGGCTAGCAAATGGCTAAGCATTATTTTCCATCCCACAAAGCATTTGGAAACTATCCCTACACTCTGAATTTTGAAATCTATTTAAGCTATCCTCTTATAAGAAACATTAAAAACAGGTGGCACGACTATTTTTTAAAGCATGGTGTCTTCCTTGACAAATCCCTTCCCCACTCACTTCCACCTGCACAGACTTTCACAATGTTCTGCACTCTCTCAAGATATCTAAAATCTTGATGTTTTACAAGGAGTGAGCAAAGTCATAATGCCAGGAAACAACCACAATAAAGGAAACAAGGATATCCAGCAGCAAACAGTATTTTTACTGCCAAGTCATTATAAACACCAACATAAGATAGATGATTGAGTAAGAAACTCTGAAAACTAATCATTTCTCAAAATGACAAAGGCATTCAAGTTAAAAGTTAATGCAAGGTAGCCAGTACAGACTACAAAAGTCATGCATGCACTGAGATTCAGATTTTAAAAAATTGAAGCCTTAAAAAACATTTTGGCAAAAAGAAAGGGTACCACACCTGCGCAGAGCTTAGAATCTACGATCCCCCCAAATTTTAACCAAATGCCAAGTCAGTCAACATCCACCCTGAAAACATGAATGAGACACTCTCATCTTTGTTACTCCCCTTCCCTGCAGGCCTCTGACACATGAGCTGCTGACATGTCTTTCCCATCTGCAGTGTCCCACAGTATGCTCCCTACTAGCTTCTGATGTCCCCACAGGATTGGAAGCCCAGGAATTCGGCTTGATCAATGAAGTTAAAAAGAACTCTGTGCAGTCCAGCCAAGTGTCTGTGATAGAATGTATCACCTCCATTCTCTTAAAATGAGAGAAAACAGGAAGGGGGCATTTTTTTTTAAGGTTTTAGCGCATATATTAAAAATTATATTTTGTTAGGTCTGAGCCTTCAATAGAATATGTTTCATATGAATATGAGCCTTCAATCAAATTATGTTTCATCTCCTTAAAGTGGTATATGGGCAATGTAATTTCTATGGTTTGGGGACAATTCCCCAGGGAGGTAAATAAAAAGTACCAATTAACATGCTTGTTAAAAGTAAAGACTCAACACAAATCACTCTAAGTAATAGTGCCGTGTCCTGCGTCCTGACTCTTGGGTTCACCTAGTGCCTCTCCCTGCAGAGAACTACTGACATTCACTAGAGCCTGAAAATCGAGTAAGAAAGCTTCCCATTTTCTGTTCCTTCATAACATGATGGCTAACTCCTGGTTGGAAAGACTTAAAGGTCAAAGACTTGAAAAAAAAAAGGGGGGAGGGGGGTGGAGAAAAAAAAAACAACCACCAAAACCAACCACTGGGTCTCCAACCAGAATGAGTGGTTAATCCAACTGGCAAAAAAAGGAGGTTTCTACATTAAAAGTGCTTCTAATGAGGAACTGCTGAGCCACATTATACTGGAGAATCCATAAATGTCCGTCCCTAATGTCACCAGCTAGAGGAATTTTAAAAAATGCAATGCTTGGATGGAGTGGCAAAGCTAACCCGGCGGGCTGAAGTCAGAGAGGACGCGTGCCCCGCATCCCTCTCCCTTCTACATCCCTACAGATCCGGGCGATACCGACCCGCAGTTACATGCAACGCTGGCAGCGCTCAAGATGCCATCTGATGCTGAGAAAGTAGTGGTTCAGCAACACCAGGCGGCTCTGTGATGCTACAATAACCACGCCGCAGCGAATGGCGAACCCGGGGCGCCGGCCGGCGAGACCCCGAGCCGCGCAGGACGGACCCCGGAGCCCGCGTCCCTCCCCACTTTCCAGGTGGCGAGAGGGGATGACTTTGCGCGTCGCCCCTTCTGGACTCTTTCCCCCGGCGCTCAGGCGACCAGGGGCACCCGGGACGGAGGAGGGTGACTCGCTCCCACAGAATTTCAAAAACCTGGAAACCAAGCATTTTTTGGCCAGCGGAGAAAATAAGCGTGGCCCACCCCGCCGGCCCGGCCGCGCGCAGCCCGTTTCCAAGTAGAGAAAGAAATAGGTGAGAAGCCAGACCCACATTCGCCTTCCCCCCGAAAGTGGCCTCTAAGCCCCCAGCCAAGGACGCGGGGGGCAGCGGCGGAGCGAGGGGGCACTTTTCGGCCGGGGCGCGGCGAGCCGGGTCCTCGCGCGGCCCGGGACGGCAAGGGGCGGGGCGGGAGCCCGGGGGGCGCGAGGGTCCCAGACGCGGCCCGGGAATCGGGCGCAAAGTTAATACTTACGGAGTTTGGCGTCGGCGCCGCCCCCGCAGGCCGCCCGGAGGGGCGCTGGGACGCGGCGGGGCCGGGAGTCCGCAGCGCGCAGCCCGGCCGGCCTCCCCGAGCGGCCCCGGCGGGAGGCCCGGGCTCCCCGGCGCCCGCTCGGCGCACCTCCCGGCCGGCGCTCGGGGAGCGCGGACGCCCCCGGCGGGGCGACGGGACGCGGCGGGTCGGAGCCGGGCGCCCGGGCGCGGCGGCGAGCCTGGGCGAGGAGCGGGCGCCGGGCGGCGGGGCGCGGGCGCGGGCGGCGGCGGGGCGCGGGCGGCCGGCGCCTCTGGGCGGGGGCCGGCGGGGCCGGGCGCGGCGGGCGGCTCCGCCCCTTGGCCGGGCGGCGGGCGGCGCGCGGGAGGAGCGGCGCGGGGGCGCCCCCTCGGCCGCCGCTCGGTGACAGCGCCGCTCGCCGGCCGCCCGCCGCCCGCAGCGCCCTGGTAACGGAACTGGGCCGCTGCGCTGCATTGTGGGAGGGCGAGGGGCGCCCGGACCCCGACCCCGGGCCCGCGCGCGGGGACCGGCCGCGACTCTCCCGGGAGTGAACCGTGCCAGAGCCCGGCGAGAGGCTGGCCACACTGCCCTCTACGGTCACCCCAGAGGAGAGGCTTGCTCCTCAGAGGCGCGCGCTTACACACACACACACACACACACACACACACACAGAGGCGCGCGCTTACACACACGTACGCACGCGCCACACAAGCACCACACACTCCACACAGCACACTCACACACGCCACACATGCACCACACACTCCACACAGCACTCTCACACACGCACTCACACGCCACACACTGACACACTGCACATACACATGCCACACACTCATACGCCTCACCCTCACTACACACGTGACACTCGCGCACTCACACACACTGCCCCCACCCGAGCGGGAATTGCAGCGTCTGGAGTGGCCTAGGACCCCTTAGCAGCGGGCAGTGACCGAGGAGCAGCAAAGCACGAGGGAGGGAGTCAGACGTGAGTAACCACGTTTAGCGAGAGCGGGGTTCACCGTCACACACACACGCACACGCACACACACACCTTCACATGCAGCACCTGCCTGGCCCAGGAGGGAAGCCAGAGCGCTGGTCTGAAAGCGCAGAGGGCCTGGTCCTGCCACCCGTGACAGTCCAGCTGCGGCAGAGGGCAGGCCTGGTCCCGCTGGGGCGCTCGTGCCCACCTTTCAGCCCTGGGGAGCCCACTGACTGGGGTTGAAGGTCATGGCTGAGGGCAAGGAGCCTTCCAGTTGTAAACTGCCCCTTTGAATTCTCCAGACACTCTTGGGTTTTTCTGGCTTTGTTTTTAAGCCTCCACACCAGAGTATTAATTGGGAACCACAACTTGTTAGAGCTTATCTGACTCTGGTTTGTTTGTGTTCAGTTTGGGGTTTAAGACCTTTTGTTTCTCCCTCTAAGTTTTTGTCCTTGAGTTCTCACACAATTCATTACTTCCACTACCTGGCAAGTGAACTCAGAAGAGAGGGAAGACCCAAATTTGGTTCATGGACCTTGAAGGGTTCTCTGATCCCATTGAAAACCTGAGGGAATTTTATTTAAAGAGTGCTTTGTAGATCTTCCCTTAACCCTACTAGAATTGTTGTAGAGCAACCCCGATACAAAACGGGGTGCCTGACTGTGGGTCCTCACCCGCGCGCTTAAAAGGACTTATCAATGCTCTGTTGCAGGCACACGCGAAAGGTTAATAAAGGTTTATTTACAAGGGAAGGGGAAATGAGGAAATGTATAGTTCTGGGAGAAAAGTGGGAGACAAAGTTTTAAATGCGTCCTACCCAATCCGCAGATCAGGAATCCCAAAATGGCGCTCTCAGAGTTGGCCGCCAGCCAGGAGCGGTGAAGCCAGGAGGCGAGCGATCACGAGCCAGAGACCCCAAGGCCCACATGTTTGGTTTTTATATCCAACCTGGCTGCCCAACTCCACCCTCAGGTCCCAGCCACCCTCCCTTGGAGGTGATGGGATTTGTCTTTCCCAATGTCTTGATGGCTTTAGTCTGGAGTGGGGGTGGGGTCCACAAAGCCTGTATGGGATTAGCTCAGGACATCCTTTCCCCCTAACAGAATCTTGGCAAAGGAGTTTTCCAGAATTCACAGAACCTTTCTTAAGCCCTCATTCCCACCTCGCCTTCCACTCCACTGAACACCAGTCACCACCTGATTCAGGAAAAATTTAATACCCATTTTGTGCCCTCTGGGGCGTTTGCCAACACTGACCTCTCCTTTCTCTATAGAACTTTCTCCCCTCCCACTGTGGAGGTCTTGAAACTGGATTATGAAATAGCAGACTGGGGTATGGCTATTGGTAAACCAACACGCAGGACCTGACTGTAGCAGAACCTTTCTCTAGTTTCGCTGGTCACCTGGAGGGTCTTGATGATTTTATCACTCATTCTGAGGTGAACTGGCTGACTGACTCAAGACAACCAACTCTCTTGTGACTAGCATTTAAGTCATATGTGATTGAATCACCATGTCTGTGATATAGCCAAAGCCCTTGCTAGCACCCTGGTAAAGATATCCCTTCCTCAAAAGACAGCGTGCCTTCCTGGTGGCTACAGAAGCCATTTGCTTCCATCTGGCCCTGGATAGGAAAAATCTCTTTCCTCATGTCAACCCCATGTGGTTAATGTAGTCTTCCGTCAGTGTAGTACAATTTGTTTTAGACTTTTAGCTATAATCACTTCCCTATTAAGCCTTCCTGATGTCTCACCAAATGTCCTCTTGATGGGACTTGTAAACAATCCTTATTTCTGTTTTCTAGTTATATTCCCAGAAAGTAACCTAAATAAAATGAGTATTTATGCTCCGTGATCTAATCAGCTTTGATTAAAAAAAATCAATCTGGGAGGATGGATTCAGGAAAGCAGGGATTCTAAATGGGAGAGATTGTGGACTGGATGGCAGTGGACTGTACAGGAGGGCCAACACCCAGAGATACAGGAAGTAAGGCTTAGTTTCCTTTTGCTACTGTAAACAGATTACTAGAGAGAGTAGCTTAAAGCAATAAGAATGCTTTATCTTATAGTTCTGAAGGTCAGAAATCCTAAAATGAAAATGTTTTCCATCTGGAGGCTTGAGGGGAGAATCCATTTCCTTGCCTTTTCCAGCTTCTAACTGCCACCTGCATCCCTTGGCTTGTGGCCTCTTCCTTGTCTTTAAGACCAACAGCTTAGCATCTTCAAATCTCCTTTTTTCTCTCTTTGTAACCTCTTCATGTTTGGCAGAATATCTCCTTTCCCTAAGATAGGCAAAGAAGATAGGAACTGATGTAGATATAATTCTTTATTATCTAGCTCCACTTATCTTTCCTCCTCTCACCCTACCCCTTCCCCCACTCAGAGTGCACTCAGTTTTCTAACCCTAAAAACAGAACTCTGGACCACTTCCCATTTCTCTTACTCAATTACCCTGAAATTGCTTGTTTATTTGTAGAAGACTCACTATTCTCCCACAAGGCAGGCACTAAGTTGTATTTGTCATTGTATTCCACATTCCTGGCACAGGGCCTGGCTCACACTGGGAGCTCAATATTAGTTGAAATCACAGTCAAATGAGTTAATGACAATATAAATGGAATAAACAAATGCCGGCTATTCACCTGTTATACTTTATCTTTGATTTTCTTTTTCTATAACTACCTAAGTTATTCTTCTTCTTTGATTAAAAGCCATGATAGAAAAAATAGTTAACTCTGATATTATGCTAGGTTCTAAAATTACAAAAATGAGTCTGACTTAATCTCAAACACCTGTGACTTCACATTCCGTCTAAAGAAACATGCTAACAAAAAAGAAAACAATGCTATTTGCTATTCTTCTCCCTTGCTCCTCTTCTCTCTTAGTAACACAGACCTGATTTTGTGCCCAGTGAAAAATTTCGTTTCACAACTTTCCTTGCAAATAGGGGTGACTAAGTATAGACTTATGGTATATGGATGTAAGATGTTGTGTGGGACTTTCAGGAAAATTCTTTATTTGAATGTCTGGTGGTCAGTTATTGGTAGGGATTATCCAAACCCTATTTCCGACTGGAATATGGATGTGATAGCTTGGAGCTCCAGCAATAACTTTGTGACATCAAGACTATCTTGAAGCCCAAAGTCATATTTGATAAGGAAAAAAGAGCAAAATAATGAAAAGAGCCATCATTGCAACCCTGAACACCATACCTTTTAATGGTTTTTCTTATATGAGAGAAAAATAAGAAGTTTCTCAATAATAATAAGTTACTAACTGACACACAAATATTTATTATATAGCAACTTTAAAGGTCTAAAAGAAGGGTATATAGGGCCTCCCTGGTGGCGCAGCGGTTGAGCACTGGGTTGCAAAGCTGCCCAAAGCCTCTGCAGCGCTGGTTCGATTCCCAGCTGCTCCCCAGCCACCGGAGGAGGGTCCCACATGGTGCGCAGACCTCTCCTGCCACCCGCTGCTCCCCTCAGCAGTGTATTTCGTCAGTCTGCTTGTTCTGCTCCCCGCTCTGGCTCTGGTGAATTCTCTCACCCTCCGCGCGCTTCTGACTGTACCCAGTGCTTGTATAAATAAATAAATAAATAAATAAATAAATAAATAAATAAATAAATCTTTATTATAAAAAAATAAAAGAAGGGTATATAAAATTCTCTTAGTGTACATTTGAGGAAAGAGTGAATTTTGCCTGGAGAAAAGGGGGAAGGTTTCGCAGAGGAAGTGACATTTTTCTGGGCCTTAAAAAGTAAGTAAATGTTTAGTAGAAGTTAGAGTGAGAAGATTGAAAAGAACATTTCAGATTAAATAGTGTAACACTGATACTGAATATCATTTTTGTTTGTGATAAAGTTGATGAATTTGGAAAAATAAATAGATGATAGTTTTTTTAAAAATGTTTTGGTATGATTAGGAAAGGATGATGTGGTATGGAGCACTGGAAATCATGAAAAAAATTTTTTCAAAGATTTATTTATTTATTCATACAAGAACTGGGGTATAGGCCAGAGGTGTGGGGGGTGAGAGGATTCACCAGAGACAGAGTGGGGAACAGAACAGGCAGACTGACTGAAATACACTGCTGAGGGGAGCAGCACGCAAGTCAGGAGAGGTCTGCTGTGCCACGTGGGTTAGCTCCCTGGCTAGGGATCAAGCTCATGCCTCTGTAGCTGGCAATAGCTTGTTAGTGCTGAGACTTTAACCCCTGTACCACCAGGGAGGCCCAAATCATGAAAATTTTTAAGAGTTAAATAGCAGGAAGAATTGGAAGGAATACTGATTAAAGGAAATATTATGATGATTATTTATATGTTGGCCTTCATATTCTTTTATCTTATTTTTTTGTAGCCTAAAATATTTTCTCCTGTATAATTCTTTCTATTCAATCTAATGTTTTATCACTTCAAAAATTTGTACAAATGAGTCCTTCAGAGTTATTCAGTCTAATCTAACCAAGTCTTTCATTTAGTCACTGTTACTGATAAATGTGGAAGGAAAAGAAAAAAAAGTCATATATCCTGTTCTTTTTAGTATAAAGGTGTGGTAAATATGTAAATATGGTATATTTCTAACTAAAGAAAGATCTTGTACACACACTGAAACACTACAAAGGTCTGTAACCATTGTAATTTATTTTCATGCAGTGTGAAGGGGCTTTTAAAAAACAACTGATAGTTCTCAGATTTTTTTGAAATTACTCATTTGATGATAATTTTTTTAACAAAATAGTTTAATTACTAGCTCATAAAAAGCCTCTTGAAAGACCCTCCAATAATTTGATGGGGCAGGATGATGATGATGAGTTTGTTTTGTTAAACAAATAAAGGACAATATGGAAAGTAAATAAAGCATAAATTGTAAGTGAAAATGACAACCAGTCATACCAAAAGTGAGACATCTAAATATATTTAGAAATAGTATTTAAATTATGGTGAGGTCCTTATTCAACTGGAAGTTTTGTCTTGTTTTGTTTTGTTTTTTTTAAGAGGTTAATCTCATGAAAATTGAAAAGTCTTGATTCTTTTATTATTGTCCAGAGGAATGGATGTAGTCAGCAGAGGTTAGGTCTGGGTGATTCTACAAGAGCCTTCACGAGAATCAGTGTATGGGGAGAAAACAGGCATTGGGCTGCCTCATGACACAAGTCTGCATCTTTGTAAATATATGCAGTAAAATCTGGTCTGCAGTGCCTTCTGGCATCCTGCATGCCACGCAACCATCTCCCTCCACTTCCGCAACACTCACTTGTGGTTTATAATGATGCCTTTGATAGGACTTCTGAATCATAGCAGAAAGATTAAATTATGTTCTTCATGTATTTAATTATATTTTATTAATCGCAAACTGGAAATCCAATCTGATTTATAATACAGTTAGATTAATCAGAACTTCCTTATCAGGGACCAAACTACCCACAATGCAGAGTTTATAGTTCATGAGGGGAAAAAAGCAACAAAAACATTAACTGATTAAAAATGTGAGATTTATGTAATCATAGCAAGAGCAATTATGACATAAGAATGTGGAATCATTCAGACACATTTTAAAGAATCAGTAATAAATGCTACATACTAATTCTTTTTTAAGATGGCAAATTTTGTGACATTTATTCATAGCTAATTCTTTTAATAAGCATAATTCACATTTTGTAGTAAGAGAGAAATTACCTTAGTGTATAAATAAGCAGAACATCCTTTGGGATTGGATAGAATGAGGTCTGGTGTTAGGAAGACAGTGGCATAGGCTCAGGCATATTATGCATTGATTGGGTTAGGTGTCCAGATTTGGTTTAGGCTCCTGCTCCTTATGTCACCTGTGGTTTCCCTAAAGGCATTTCTGGAGACAGTAAATACAGGGAATAATCATGTGTCTTAGGTGGGCTTCCCGGAAAACGGAGCCGAGGACAGGGATTCTTGTATAAGTGACTTCTTGCGGGCATGTCTGAGGAGGCATGAGTGGGCTGCTGCAGACCAGGGGGTTAAAGCTCAGCCTTGCCCGGGCCTGTGGGGAACCCTAGAGTGGAACTGCAGCAGAATTGGCCTTGGGACAAGGATGCTGAACATTTCTACCCCACTGTCAGTCACTCATTAGGTGCGTGGTCACTGCCTGCCAGCCCAGCATGGAAGCCTGTTTGACCCGGGGGCAAAGGTATTTTCTCTGAGAGGGCAGAGCTGCAGCTAACAGCCAACCTCCTAGCACTCAGGGGCACCAGGCCAGGAAGGGGTTCTGGGTAGAAAGCACTGCCCAGTTCAGGTACCACTAACTGTGGGTAGAGCCCAGCCCAGACACTCATGACCCTCTAACCACTGAAGTCACTGCTGACAGTACCCCTGAGGCCAAGCACCACACCTGAGTCATTTCTAAAGGAAACTGTTGAGACTGCAGCTAGGGGGGCAGGGAGCATGTCTCTTCTACGGCTGCCCTGGCAGCTGGTGTTGGCTGTAGAACTGAGGCAACTAAGCAGGGAAGGAGCTGAGAATGCTAGGAAAATTGAGGGTTGATTTAGAAAGACAAGGATGAGATCAGAGTTCCTTTGGGTTAAGATTTCTGTCTGAGCCCCACTTGCCAGTCTCCCCCTTTCTCTTCCACTGAGATAGACCCTTGCCTGTCTATCTCTCTTCTGCTAGCACTCTTAGCTCCCACTGGGATTTCTATCATCCCTGGCCTACCCTAGAGGGTTGTCTGTCTTCCTCCAGCAGCTTTTCACCACTCTTCACATAACAAATATTTCACTGCAGGGTCTATGACCTTATCTGATAGTTCGACAGACAGGTGTGGAGAGAGAATAGAGCAAAACTCCTTCCATGGCCTTCCCCTTTCTAAGTTGAGCCCGAGAAGCTGAGCCCAGGATGGGTGCTGCTGTCGGGTCTTTTGCGAAACAGACACCCTGTTGCTGAACCACCTACATTTCAGAGCATCAGGAGGCCATCCTGGGAGGTGTGGGTGAAAGCTCTGTGTGTGGGGGGGGATGTGGGTATGAAGGAGGCAGACAGCTCCAGGGATACAGGAGAGCAGGGTGGGGGACGTGTGCAGGACAGGCCAGCTGTGCTTGGTGTTCCCTCAGCAAGCCTGGGGCATCCTTATCTTCCTTCCCCACCCTTCACCAGTCCAGACCTTCCCTGAAAATGCCATTTCAGACTAATGGAAGATACACTGACAACTGAGAGTGGGTGGGTGTGGAGCAAGGACGGCAAGATCCTATCTACTATGATGATGAAAGACAAGACAAATGTCATTTTTTTTTTTTTCCTAATCTGGAGAAGAAGTTCCCTTTACCCTAAGTCCAGGGTACAAATAAATGACTCCAAGAATTACTGATACTGAAATTATTGAAGTGCTATCACTTTAATTGAAATCAGCAACATCTCCTGATGGCCCGCTCAAATCAACAAGGGGTGTGGGGTGGCCCCAGCAGCATACCCACCTGGGTGTTGGGTGGCATATTGGAGAGGTGGGCTTGTTCAGATGCGATGGCATCCTTATTCCATGCCTGTCACCTTCCAGGAGATGCCCTTCCCTTCCTGCTGCCACCCTCAGCTCCCATGGAGATCTCAATCTTCCTGACCTGTGCCAGAGGTAAGGCTGTGTATTTAAGAAAAGCACTTTAAAGAGCACTAAGACCCTTGTCTCGAAGAGGTTGGAACGATACTAAGACAGGTTTTGGTTCAAGTTCCTGACTCTGCATCTCACTAACTGAGCTGCTGTGGACACATTCCTTATGTTCTCTGACCTTGGTTTTCTTACCTGCAAAAAAATAAGGAAGGGAGAAGGGAGAATGGTATCAGTAGCACACAGAGAGTCATTGTGATTAACTGAAATATCAGTTGGTGCCTGGGAGGTAAGTGGTATCTCCTTTCCTCACCTTCCTCCTCTTATTGTTGTCATTATTATCTGAAGTATTGTTATATCTGCATGCTCTTATCTAAGAAGATATTTTCATCAAAATGAAGAATTACAATCTTCTGTGTCAATATACTCAGTGCCAGTCACTGTTCTAAATGCTTCTCAAATCAACTTTCAAATACAGCAACTTACTGGGCCAAGTACTGTGATTATATCCATTTTATACACTAAAAAGCCAAAGCATAGAAAGATTAAGTAAATATTCTGAGTTACATCACTTGGTAGTAGAAGAACTGGGATTTGAACTCAGAAATGCTGGCTTCAAAATCTGCACTCTGCCTCTGCAATATGTAGTTAAAGAGTGAGGATCAAAAATTGCTGAGAAAACACAGCACCAAATTGGTACAGGTTCATGGTGAAAGATCAAAATGGAACTACAAATTGAGGTCTTGGGTAGGCAGGTCCTTCCACCTGGGGCCCAGAGTGTAGTGGAGGGTTGGCAGAGTAGGGATCTCAGGCCCAGCAGCATCTAAGCCTCATCGGCAACTGTGCCTAGCAAAGGAAGTTAACCTGGTATTTTGGAATGACTGGTAAGTTTTTAAATTCAGTTTACAAGCCAATTGGAATAATAACCCATTGATTACTGTGACCAAGGTAGCTGCCTGTTCTCAAGGATATTACTGGCCTTATGTGCAGATAAGGGCCCATCCTAGAAACTGGTCCCATGACTTCTGGGGCACTGACTTTAGCTTTGTGACGCTGACGCAGCCCTTTGCCCTCTCTCCCCTCTCCAAGATAGAGTGAGCGGTAACCTCAGCACTGACTGGCATACCTGGCTACTATGGGAGGCCCCTTGCCTCTTCTGCTGCCCCTGTGTTTCCTCCAGGAGGGGAGGCCATGCTGTCCTCATGCACCACATCTAGCTCTGACATTCTGAATTTATGGGTCACAACTTAAAACAATTGATGCCATTGAGGGAAAAGAGACACTGCAGAATTGGCTTGCTCCAGCTTCTGATAATAACCCAACAACAGTTCAGCATCCCCCCAGAACTCCAGGAAAAAAAAAATGTAGGGAGACTTTAAGATAGATTTGTACCAGAGCATGATATAATACTGCTGTTTTGTACAGTATTATGTGACTTCACTCTTCTCAAGCCATTCTCAGTGAGAATTGTGAGCTGTTAGAACTTCCTAACTAGCAATGGATAAAGAAGCATAAACTGGGCCTTCCCTGATGGCACAGTGGTTGAGCCCTGGGCTGCGAAACTGCCTGCAGTCTCTGCAGCTCTGGTTCGATCCCCGGTCACCAGCAAGAGTCCCACATGGCGCGCAGATCTCTCCTGCTTAGCCCACTGCTCCCTTCAGCAGTGTATTTCATCAGTCAGCCTGTTCTGTTCCCCACTCTGGTTCTGGTGAATTCTCTCACCCTCCTGCGCTTCTGACTGTACCCAGTGCTTGTATAAATAAATAAATAAATCTTAAAGGAAAAAAAAATTAAAGAAGCAGAAACCTACTGGCAAGTCCACGTGTGAACAGCAGATGTGATAGCTGAGTAAACTAACAACCCTGGTGCAGTCCTCCCTGATTCTAGACAGAAATCCACAGTCAGGTCAGCCCTGGGTCATTTCAGAGAGTAAACTGAAAAAAGGAACTCTTTCTTCTCCTCCAGGGAGAGACATTTTTGGGTTTTGTGTTTTAAGTTATTTTTTTTTAAAGATTTATTTTTATATTTATTTATCCAAGACCTGGGGTACAGGCCAGAGGCGCAGGAGGGTGAGAGAATTCACCGGAGAGAGTGGGGAGCAGAACAGGCAGATGGATGGAAAATACTGCTGAGGGAAGCAGCGGGCGAGACAGGAGAGGTCTGCTGTGTATCTGCTGGGTATCTCCCTTGCTGGCTGGGAATTGAACCCATGCTGCAGAGGCTACGGACAGCTTCACAGTGCTGTGCTCAACCTGGTGTGCCACCGGGGAGGCCCTGTTTTAATTTTAGTACCTGATATTCCCTAGTGAAGTGTGGGTTAAGAGAAAAACATCATGTGTTGGAATCCAAATGTCAGAAATTCATCCAAGATGGAACCCTTGGCCATCCTTGACCCTCCTCTCTTGTAATGAAAGAACAATCATGATTGCACTATGGGGGTCCTTGTTGGTCTAGTCCTGTTTGGCCATGTGGGGCAGGAGCACGTAAGGTGATGAAAAAGAATTATTAGAAAACACAATTTTTTTATGTTAAAAAAATGGAAGCAAGCAAGACAAAATGAAACATCGAAACTAAAACTCTAGACCTTGGCAATCAACCCCCAGGTTTGAGTTCCATGCAGAAGAGGGAAACCTATGGGCCCCTATGGTAGCAACAGCCAGGGCAGGGGATTTTATATAATTTCTATCTTTCCAGTAGGCTGCAGTTGGGAAAGGGAGGATGTGGTGATTTGGAGGAGGAACTACTTTACACATAAATATTTTACTGTGGGTGATCATGGACTTCTTTGGGATATAATTTAGAGCTATTGCATACATCACATGAATGAATTAAAATTAAAATTTCTAAAATTGAGAGATAATTTCCTAATTTCTTAATATAGGCAAAAGATAATATAGGCAAAAGAGAGGACGCATTGGGAGGTAAAATGGGTTTAGAAGAGGTTTGACAGGCATCAAATATTGGATTCTAATCCTCCCAGGGAGTGGACATCTTGGAGTTCTTTTCTAGTCTTGCAAACCCAGCAGCCAGTTCAGGAGTTACTAAAGTTATGCAAGGTGCTTCTGAGTCTTTATGTTAGATAAAGAAAAAGCAAATCAATGCACTTTTTGGTCTTCTTATAAGACCTGAGTCCAAGCAAGGACAGTTGTCAAAAAGGTAGAATATTTGAAAAAACATATTGACATCTGCTAATGCTGTTTGCCATTTCTTTTATTCTTTCTTTACCCTCCTGGCTAACCTAACCCTGCCCTCGAGGGCAAGAGAACAGTACAGGCGCTTGGCTCCAGGCCAGCAGTGAAGTGGTAGATTAGTTTCTATAGTGGGGGTGGAGCTGGTGCTGACTTTGGGCACTTTATCTCATCTGTTTGGCCTCAGTCTCTGCATCTGTAAACAAGATGATGAGTATCTGCCAAATAAAGTGGTTGAAAGATGAATTCCGTCTACCCTATACTAGGCTCCAACTCAAATAAGCCTTTATCCCTAATCTTTCTCCTGAAACCAGAGGTTGGAGGTCCCATCTCCATGTGAGCTGCTTTCCCTAAGAGGGTGTCTTGAGGTGGGACTGTTATAGGACAGGGAGAGGGTCAGCCCAAGCCCCGCAAACCTGCCTATTCTAAATGGGTTCTGCCATCCGCCGCATCAACACAAAACATAGGAGACTTTAATGGGAAGGAACTTTAATAAAACTAGGAAACAATACAGGTAAGGCAAAGAGTCTAGTTTCTAAATGAAGCACCCAAAGTTACCCGTCCCCTCGTGGGTAAAAGTCCATCCATATGGGATTGGCCCAGAACAAGGCCCCAAAGCCTGCTACAAGTCTAAAGCATCTTCCAGTGGGGACCCACAGAAAAGGGTCACAAACAACTGGACAAGCCCGGAAGGAAAAGAGCAAAATCAACATCAAGATAAAAGCTGCCATTGTCACCTCCCCACGGGTCTCACCCACATCTGTGTCACCTAGTCCACGACCCAAAGACAAGCGCAGTTTCTTCACGTGTCTCTAGGCTCTATGTGCCTCCTCCAGGTCTCCTGGCTCCATGCTGCTTCCTTCCTCAGTCTCTTCTGCAGCTTCTCCTCTTCCTGCTCAGCTCCACCCTCCCTTGGGAGGGGCAGGGAACCTCCCCCTTTCCTGGGGACCACCCTGTTACAGGACAAGGAGTTGGTGTGAGTGAGACACCAGCCTCTCAGGCCCTGGTGATGGTTCAGAGACGAGTTCCCGTTACTGAAGCTCCCGCCAGTGAATGTTAGAAATGTGCTCTTCATGTCCTTGTTTGCTTGGGTTTTGATTTTTGTTTTTTTGGTCCATTCTACTGAAAAACATCCTCATTCAGCAGTTACTACTGCAGATGAAAGTACTGGCAAACCAGATCTCTAAGTTGTCATTTAAAAAAAAATCAGTATTTTACTTGAAGTCAAGCCAAGCTTGTCTTTATTGTTGTGAACATGACTCTGTAGCAGGCAGAGGCTGATAAGAGAGTACCAGGTGAGAGTTTCCTTGGTGATGACTGAATGCCTGCTGCCACTTTGTAAAGCTGGCTTGGGGTCAGGTTATACAAGTCACGTGGCAGGTTCTCAGACACTGTAGAGTTGGGCCCAGAAATTTACTGGCCACATCCTGTAGCCTCCCACCCAGTGATGCAGAGCAGCTGTGAGGGACCCATCCTTGCAGAGCAGCTCAGCACCAAGCAGTACTCCTACCATCCTTTGGTCAGTCATCCACCATCACTGCATGACTGAGGAGCACCCTGTGTGCCCTATGTGCACCCCCAAGCTTGCACACTCTAAACAAGTCCCGGCATCTATGTGCACAAAGGCAGAGCAGATTCTTAGTGTGAGAGAACTTTACTAGAATCAGTGTGTATACAGAGAGAAGAGGAGAAAATTCTGAATGAAACACCCCAAATTAGCCATCCCCTTGTGAGCAAATGCTCAGTCAAATAGGGTTGGCCTGAAGCTGGGCTGCTGAGGCCCAAAAGCTTGCCACAAGTCTACAGCACAGTGGTGGGGAACCATGGAAAGGAGTTCTG